GGGGGGGGGGGGGGTTACCAATATGCTCTATTTTGGGGTTATTATTGAAGTTATATTCGTATTATATAAAAATTTATAAGTTTACTCGTTTTAGGATCAATATAGATTTAGCGGGTGTGAAGTGGGAAATATTCGCGTCTGAAATTGCAAACTTAAGATGCACTTAAGATTGTTTAGTTTTATGTGCGGCTAATTTTTACATGAACAGACTTTTTAGTCTGAAGTGCAAAAATTGCACTTAAGACTTAATTGGTCTGAAGTGCAGCTAATTTTGCATGCATTTAAGACATTTTTAGTCTGAAGTGCAAATTGTCTAGGAACAAAAAAAAATTCTTCGAATTTTAACAATGTAACACATGATTCAACACTCAACTTTACTCCTAATGAACTCAAATAACTTTTAAACATCATACTGAACGAACCTCAATCTTCAATTTGTCATAACAACAACAAATCTAACAAACTCATTTTGCAATTAAGAGGGAAAAAAAAGAGAAATCCTAAGCAATAGCAAAGAAAGGAGTGCCGCAACAGCTCACTACTGTAAAACACCTTAAAACCTGCTCACAAATATCATGTAAATCCACTTGTCACTTTCTTTTTATAGCAACTAACAATCACAAGAAGGAGGAGGATGAGGAGGAGGAGAAGAAAAATGTCTGAAGTTATATGTATTTAGGTACTAGTTAATTTATTTTTAAAAAAATTGTGTACAAGTTAAATAGGGGCGACCAAATATGGTGTCCCGTGTCCGAATAAAAGTCTCCTGCACTTGTTCTTCTGACATAGGCCCATTTGTTCGAGAAAAAGAGGGGAGAAATTAAAAAATAGTCAGATTTACAACTGGTCGTTCAAAAATAGCTCAATTTCAAAAATAATCGAATTTTAGCCACTTTTCATGTAAAGATAAATCTGAGCGAAAATACTATTCAAAACCCGAAAAATAATTGTACAGTATATTATACTGGAGTTCCAACATAAGTATGCTTGAACTCCAGCTTATTATACTGGAGTTCCAGCATAATTACACTAAAACTCCAGCATAATATACTGGAGTTCCAGCATAATTACACTAAAACTCCAGCATAATATACTGGAGTTCCAGAAAGTATAATTGTACATTATAATATATTAAATTTTGGAGTATTGGTGCTCCAGTCTCCAGTATATTATACTAGAGTCAGCAAAGTATACCGGTCCAACATAATATGCTGGAGGTCATACACAGGTGCACCGAACTCCAGTATATTATGTCGGACCAGTCTCTGTTGCAGCAAAATAGTGACTATTTTTCATTGACTTCGTAAACACTGGCTATTTTTGAATGACCAATCTGAAAACTGACTATACCGTGCTATTTTTACGAAAAAGAGACTTGAGACAAGAAAGCCCAATTTAAGGACCAGTGGCCCATTTCCTCCACGAGCCCGATACAAACCCTAATCTATTTCATACACATATATAAGATTTTTATCCCTCCATCTACAAAAACCTCAGGTATTTTCATTTTAGGTTAGGTCATTTTCCAGCGGAAGAGTGCGAGCAAACCAAACAAAAGCAGAACAATGAACGCGGCACCAGCGGCGGTGGAATCAGTCCAATGTTTCGGTCGAAAGAAGACGGCGGTAGCAGTAACACACTGCAAGCGCGGCCGCGGCCTGATTAAGATCAACGGTGTACCAATCGAGCTCGTTCAACCCGAAATCCTCCGGTACAAAGCCTTCGAACCAATCCTCCTCTTAGGTCGCCACCGGTTCGCCGGAGTCGACATGCGAATCCGCGTCAAAGGAGGAGGTCACACTTCTCAGATCTACGCTATTCGTCAGTCGATAGCGAAGGCGCTGGTTGCTTTTTACCAGAAGTATGTGGATGAGCAGCAGAAGAAGGAGATTAAGGATATTTTGGTTAGGTATGACAGGACTTTGCTTGTTGCTGATCCGAGAAGGTGTGAGCCTAAGAAGTTTGGTGGTCGTGGTGCTCGTGCTAGGTTCCAGAAATCTTACCGTTAAAATTCCTATTTCCATTTATGGCATCTGCTTTTATTCCTGTTGGTACTGTTTGAATTTGAGTATGGTTTTGGTTTAGGAATTGTTATGGATTTACTGCTATCTGAGAAAGTTTTGGATTTTGATAAACGTTCATGTAGCTGTTTCACATGGTAATGGTTTTATGCTATGAAATATGAATGCAATGAATTGTGCTTTTAAATGCGAATGTAGAATTTATGTTATGCAATGTGGCCTACTTGTAGGCTGTAGCTAAATTGATATTTTTGTTAATGAGGAAACTGGAGTAAAGGTCATTCCCCTGAGAAAAGATATAGGGAACATTGTCCCGCAATATTGAAAATGTCGTTATTCAATTAGTCTGTAATGGTTGTCAGTTCCCCAGACTCTTTCTTTATTCCTGTAAATTATTATTATTTATGGATTAGTTTGAGATTAGGAGACCCTTAATTTGCCTTGAAAGAATGATTATATAGTATTGGGATTAGACCTGAGTAGAGCAGAACAATATAGATGAACCATACAACCTACCCTAACTGAGTTTGGTATATGCCTGTTGATGTGCTACCGTTTTATGAGTTTTCAGGTGAATAAAGGGTTCCCTTCATGCTATGACCTGTTTATACTATCCTAGTTACGTGTATTGCTTTATGGATATAGAAATGAAGCTCTGACAAGAAGCAGACATGCGCTACTAACTTGTGTTGATATTAGGTTCCCTCTAAGTTATCAAAAAATAAAAATGTCAGTTATGCTTAATTCTAGGAACCCCGTAGCTTCTTCTGACGGAGTTTAATACTATACATACTAATGTCTTGGACACAAGAATCCAACGTCCCTGAAACGCGTTAGGATATGGGATTGTTTCTCACTTTTGATTTGAAGAAAAATAGGATGTAACTAGCCCATTACGTAACATGTTGCTCCACTGTCTCATTAGCATGTGTTTACAACCTTCAAGTGTAGGTGCCTGATCTACACCACCATATTGGGTTCTTGAAAGTATTAAGTTCTTTGCTATGATTTCCTCTACCGAAAGCCTTTTCCATTTGTTTGCCTATTGGCTCTTCCTCATTTCATACCATTCTTGGGCAGATTGTTCTGTTTTATCATAAATAGTTCTTATTTGTATTTGTTCTTCCAGCATATTCCTTGGTGGAGTTATATATGTTAGATCTCAGTTTTCCTGCAGTAATGTGTTGAAACAAGTAAATAAATGAGTGTGCAGTCCATCTTTTTGGTGATAATGCTAAGAAGCTGGAAACTGAGATTTGTGCAATTGCATACTTCTTTCCCCATGGCTTACTGATGATTTTAACCCTGTAGGGAGTTTTGCTCAGTAATGCTTTGTCTTATTACTTTCACACAATCTTTCTTTTTGGCTATTACTTTGGCACACAATTTATCTAATACACAGTGATTCCTCTGCCAAATTCAGTCTCTTTGATGATCCTAGATTAAGTCTAGAGCTATGAACTAACCATCTCAACTCATGTAAGTCCATTGGTGGCATTCAGAATCCCCATAATTCCATATTATGACTTCAGCTGTATTTTGCTTATTTTGCCATAAAGTTCAACTGGCTTTTGGGTTTAGATACACAATAGTGGAAATGGTCCATAGTTTTTGTTACCTTGAAAAATGTAGTCCAGTCGGGCGGATTATTTGGAAACTGGACAATGACTTTAACTTTATTGTGAGATGCAAATACGCCTATAGATGCTGGATGCAACACTTGGTAGCCCATTATTTCTCTCCTTGATTGTTGATTTCTTCCTTGAGTTAAGAGGGGAGCTCTTCGAGATAGTTTTATTGGATCAACTAATAACAAATCCCTCTTTCGATCTCTTTGTGTGTGTGTCCACGATGAATAAGCTCCAACCAGGTTGTCTGTTACAACTATAGTGAAAAAAATAAATGAATTGCAGTATGGGCTGTTGATATGAGAATTAGAATCTAGGAATTACGTATGTAATCCTTTTCGCTGCGTGAGAAGTCATATATGCAACGTATAAATGTATGCTATGTTTGATTTGCTTTTTTGTTTCTCTAGTTTTGTTCAATTATACAGTCTAGTGCTTAGCCAGTATATTACTATATACTTTAAACTAAACTTATGGAAATTTTATGTCATATACCCAATTTGTTTCATTAATATTTGAAGAATGTTGTATTAATGTAATAATCACCTGGAGTGTAATTCATGAAATTAAGTTCCTTTATCTTGTTAGTGCCCAATTCACCCTCTGTAAGTTAAGTGAAAGCTAATCAAAATTAAATCTTAGAAAAGGGGTTCCTTGTCGTTCAAAACCTTATGCTCCTTATTAAAAATCAAAATATACACAAAATTAAGTAATACTAGAAGAAGGTAGTATTATTACTCAGTTACATTAACAGTACGGACAGTTTCAGTATCTTTTTTTGCTGACAATCTCCTTTTTATAATTAGAGACAAAGAATCCCGCTTTTTATCTTGGATTGTTATTTTTTATCCCATAAAACAAAGGACCCTAAATCAATAAAGACGAAGATTATTTTTAACGATCTCTACCCCCACCCCACAGAGTTTATCCCGTTGCAAAGAAAACTTTAACACGAAAGAAGAGAAAAGAGACTATTTTCTTTTTTGAATTAACTCAAAATGAATGACATTATGCATATTAAACTTTGGAACTTGTTATGCGTTAATTTTAAAACTTACGATTCTATTAAATGCCAAAAGTGAATCATTCCCCCAAAATACACGATACTTGTATTTTTTATCTTTTTTAAATTTTCATTCAAATTGATATCGTTATTGTTTTAAGAGCTCTCTTCGTAACCTTTTTGTTTTTTGTTTTGGCCAAAATCTCATGCAAAATACTCCCCCCCAAAAAATAATATTATATGCAAAATACAACTGACCACATTAATGCATTGGTTCTTGAAGCTGCGAAAGAATCTTATAGACCAAACCACCAATCCAACATACGCCTTGTTAAAGTAGGCTCAATCACGAATCAACCACTTCATCATTAGCTCTATTTGATTTATAAGAATATGGAAAAGTAATAAACTTGAATACACATCAAACAAAGACTACAACGCACCATCAAACCTGACAAGTATTAAACAAATTTTGATTCTTCACTTAAAATTGGTAGATAGGAAAATTAAACAACTCCCGTAAACAACTCCTAAACTATACAGAGTCAGCGTTTGTAAGAAAAGAATAAACACTAGAGACTCTTGGCTAGGGGTGTACAAACCGAACCGGAAAATCGCATCAAATCGAAAAGTCAAACCAAACCGATTAAAAAATCCGACTAGGTTTGGTTTGATTTGGTTTGGTATTGAGTAAAAAAATTCGAACCAAACTGACATATAAATATATGATTTATATATATATATATATTTAAGGTTTTATAAAGAATTTTCTTTAAAAATGTCTAGAAATATTTGGGATTCTCTTACGTGATATAATATTTAATAGAATATGAAGTGCTCCATATTTATTAACCTTAAATAATGAGTTGTATGATCACTTTCTTATCAAGTGTTACTGAAATGTGTCAATCTTTGTTCTTCCATATTCATATGTCAATATCTATTAAATTTTTTATGTATTGCATATTTACTTTGGGACTACGGAACGGATCTTTTTCAAATTTGAAGTGATTATTATTATCTAGGTATCGTGTTGATTTTTATGTTTAATTACTAAATTCGATTAACCTTAAAAGTATACATCAACAAAAAAATTATTGTCAGACGACTAAAAAGATAACTATCATGTGTTACCAAGTAATTTCTCCCATAAAAATATTTTAATAGATAATATGTTTGTCAATTTTTTAAATTTTTACTAAATATATATTTACTTATAAAAAATTTAACAAAGCAAGATTGAAATAATATTTAAGTAACAAAAAACCCGAAAAGCCCAACAAAACCGAACCAATCCAAGCCGATATAATTGATTTGGTTTTGATAAAAACCGAACCAACCTGGTCCATATACACCCTACTCTTGGCCATAATCTTCAGCAAATTACTAACACTTCACAGTAGCTAAACGTTTCTTCGACTTGGCTTTTCCCATCTCTTCACGTAATTCCTTTTCCCATGTCTGTTTTTTCTCGTTGATTTGTTGTTCATCAAATTCTTTACCCATCAGCAATAAAATTTCTTTTTCTGTTTCCAAATTCAAAGTCTTTTTTATGTTTTTTCTTTGGCCTTGTAACGTTAACTTTGCTTGTTTTATCTCTTCAAACAATTCCTTTTTCCACATCTCTTTTTTCTTGAAATTGCTCTGCTGGGAGCAAGCCATTGGAGAATAAAAATTTTGGACGGAGAAAGAAAATATCGAGAATGAGAGAGTAGAGCAACTTTGGGTAGAGAAACAAAAATATATAGAGAACGAATAGTAATACCGAGGAACAATTTGGGTAGAGGAAGAGAATGAGAGAATAGTAGTAATAGTGAGTAGCAGCTTTGAGCAAAAGAAAGAAAAATATATATAGACAATGCTTTCCTGATTGACACGCTTTCCTATTCCTATCTTCAACAGGAAAGGAAATTTTGATTCTATTTTGCAGTTTAGGAGAAAACGATTCTTTCCTATCTCGTGTAGGAATTGGATGTTTAACCAAAATTTGTTTCAATTTTATGTTTAATAGTTCGGAAATTTTGAGACCCTTTTCTTTTAGGTAAACTTCATAAATGATTATATAATTATAATTTTGTTTATTAAAGTTATAATTATGTTTTCTCACATAAAAATCATAAAACTTTAATTAACTCGTACAAAAATCATAATGACCTAAAAACACAATTTTCCGGTAAGTTTTTTCTTATTCCACATTTTCTTATTCTTTATACCTATATACATAAATCAAAATAATAGTAAAAGTGAATCATCCCTCTCCCCAAATTACACGATACTTGTATTTTTTTCTTTTTCCTTTTTAACATTTTTATTCAAATTGATAACATTATTATTTCAAGAGCTCTTTGATTATCCATACCTTTTTTTATAGTCAAAATCTCATGCAAATACTCCAAAGAAAGAAATATAATATTATATGCAAAATACTCCAAATAGATAATCATATACTTACAAGGACGTCTCAATAAAATTCGTGGTCTAAAGCCAAATTTTAATAAGGGGCATTTTTTTTTCTTTTGTTTATACTGTAGTTATCTTACAAAATGTAATACTAATATTTACTTTGGTTTTTTCCTTTCTTTTTGTCTGTAATTTAGTTACCTTACAAAATATAATACGTAGTACTAATATTTATATTAGTAAGAAAATTCAAGTTACTAAGATGTTAGTACTAATATTTATATTACTAAGAAAATTCAAGTTACTAAGATGTTAGTCACGTATTTACAATGTGTTACCATGGATCTTATTATAAAAAATATTATTTACCAATATAAAGAATTGAGTATCTTAATTCAAAGTTCTAAAATATTTCTACTGTTAAAAATAAACACTCTTTATTTCTACTTTTATAAGGAGTTTGTATAAACTTCAATAATGTCTAAGCAAAAAAAAAAACAAAAAAAAATCGAAAATTCACAATTATTTTTGGGGCCCCAAAATTTAGGGGGCCTAAATCAAATGCTTTACTAGTCTACTCCTTGAGCCACCCCAGTACACTTAGTAATTAGTATTTGAAGCACCTTCAAGTAGCAAATGATTCTAAGATTGGCGACCTAATTCATGGAGTATTATGTTGATGACACTGTCATCGCATCTATTTATGCCCTTCTGGAGGGATTCAAATATTATCTACTTAACTGGACCAATCAAAATAATGAATTTATCCTAATTTACCAAAGTGAACCTAGAATGACCAGAATACCCTTCAAGAGGCAAGCAGACATGGCAATTTGTTTATGAAAATACTAGTGGTGTGTGCCCGTGGCGTACGCCCGACATTAAAGTTCATTTTAGTAGAGACCATTTCTAAAGCTTTACAGCTTTTAAAGGAGAACAGACTTGAAAATATGGCACTCTTTGAAGATTGGTGGAATACAAACCAACCTGTTATAATTTGATGTTTATCCTTCCTTATCTTTGATGAACTTGTTGAAGTTTGGCAAAATGCCAAAGTCCCACATTGGTTGGGAGTTAAGTTTGGAGGGGATTTTTCCCCTATAAAAGAAGGCCTAATGTTTAGGATTGAAACACACCTCTCATTTGCCTTCTCATCTGTTTAAGGCATTTGTATCTTCTCTCTTTAGTATTATTTCACTTGTATTTTTGGAGTGGAATAAAATATTGGTTGTGTCCGAGGAGTAGGCAAAATTAGCCGAACCTCGTAAATTCTGGTGTTTCCTTTATTGTTGTTTTATTGTCTTATTTATTATTTGGTGGCTGTCATAATTTTTGGTATAGTAGTTGTGACTTATTCACACTATATACATTTGGCTTCCGCAACAGAACTAATCATATTATATAAACACCTAAGCTGTCCAATAGTCTGATGAAATTACATTCTTCCGCTCATTCATTTCTAAATGTATCGAAGTCCTGGGTAGTAAAGAAAAGTGGGATGCTATATTTCCAGGATTGGGATTCGTAAATATGTTAATAGATTCTTGATCTATATCTTCCTCATTGCGGACTGAAATTTGACAAAGTAAATCAACTGCTTCACAGTTAAGAAAAGCAAATGGGAAACCATCTGAAAGAATATAAACAAAGGTATCAAACATGAAAATCGGATATACATAAAACTAAAAGGCTGACAATACAGAACTCTCTTGCTTACCTATAAAGGTCTTCAGTAAGATTAGGTTGAGCACTGAAAAGCAGCTTCTGAAACATTTAAAACACTCAATTGCTACTCTCTTCTTTGTAGAAGTTGAAATCAAGAATTCACCTGATCATTCTTTAGACACACCGATTGGCGCGACTAATGAATCACATTTACATCAAGCAGAAGAATAGCATCCTCCCCGTCATAAAGCTTAAAGCTTAAGACTTGGTTTACACTATCGTTCCATCCGAGCAGCGAAAATTTGCAGAAGAACCGGATGAAGCACATATAGACCAATCACGAATTCATGATCTTCCAGTGGCTGAGTTGTTATGGTTTCTTTATTTTCCACGTTTGAAGTTACTTCTTGAATTTGCTTATCAGGCTGGCTGAATCCCCCACTGTGTCATGCACAAGAAATGCTCAAGCAAAATAGAAAGGATAATAGAGGTAAATTACCTCAATTCTCAAGCATATGGTATTTCCCTCAGTTTAAATACATTTATTTTCTCAAGCTCCGGTAAGATTGGCATGAACAATCAACAATGGTATCTCAACTACAAATACATTATGCATAAGTGAAAGTAATATAACTATTACTTCATGATAGACGACATAGTTAGAAGCATCTCGTCCTCATTTGCTTTTATTTAGCACAGACGATGGATGAATCTGCACAAATCAAATAGCTATGTGAGATTTGAGAATTCAAATACACCAGTATAAAACCATAATAATGGCCAAACATAAAAAGAGACTATGGAGAGCATACACCATATTTAAAGTTCATTTTCAAACTACAAATGAAACTTGAGCACATGGCCTCCACATAAAAGGACCAACATGCATGACAAAGTACCACTGTGAAAGAGTAATTATCTGTATGAGTTTAGGCCTGAAACCAAGAGTTTTACCTATCATGTCAAACCTTCTAATTTGCATAGTCAATGCACATTGCTTTCCGCACATTGCTTTCCTCATTTTTAAGAAGGTAAAAGTATTTGTATGAATGAAGCAATACTAAGAGTGATGTGAGAACCGTACAAAAATACATTTAGCAAAGGTATATCCCTTTACACCTGTAGGAGTTGTAGCATCTCTAGAATTGATTCAGCCTAATTTACATGTTCCCTACAACTCCAGAAGCAAAACAAAGCTATACAAATATATTTCTGCTTCTGGATATTGTTTGCATCGTTTTCCAAGGACTTTCGATTTTTTTTTATCCAAATAGTCCACCAAATAATGCTAGAATAGCGTGTTCCTGCTAGTTCTTCTTCCTCCTAGTCAGCCCTTTTCTACCCCCAACACTTCAGCACTCAGTAGTTTTTCTTGCACGACCCACTGCATGCCAAATAGCATTAAAGAACAAGCTCCATATTTGATCAGTGATGCAAGAGTGCAAAAGTAATCTATCAATAACTTCAACATGTTTTCAACATAAAAACACCTACTGCACAGTACTCTTTTCAGTAAATTTTCATGTGTAAGACATATCCTCAAATTTTTATACTCATGTTGGCTGCCTCACTGTCTTTTGCTTGTTTGAACATCTAATGAGCCTAGTTTAACAAGACAACATAGAGTGACATTAGGAGCTTGATTTTCTCAAAAACATTATAGAGGCACCCATGCACTTCCCAAAATCAGAAACTAAATACTAATTTAAGGGAGATTTCAAAGTTAATATCATAGTAGACTACAGATGTTGGATTATGATGTTTAAGAGAAAAGGACAAGTTAAAATTCCTCCCAACAGCAAAATCAGAAATGACTCTTATTTATCAATAGTTTCTATTTTAAAAATTCTAGTAACATAAACCATTACCTTTAGCCATTTTTTACATTATTTGGTCAAGAAAAAATAGAATCTACTTATATCATTCCACCTATGTGTAATTGCATAAAAAGTTAAAACGACTTCAAATAATAGTGAAAAAACTACCTGTAAGTTGTTCTCTTTACACCAGCCTGCATTGTAGTCAGTCTGATGCCATTTCTCACAAAGTTAAAGTAACTGGAGTGATTACCCAGCCCAGAACCATCCAACTTGAGCCACGACAAACTTCCTCCCCCTTTATTTTAAGTCATGTCTTCGGAAAATGGTTCGAGTTATAGTAGCACTTTCTGATATATGAGCTCTGGCCTTTTCTTCCTTGGTGCTTCGCGGAATAGCATATAGTTGTAATTCTCATATAAAATGGCAAATAGATAAGTATTAGTTGAAAACAACATTTGTAACAAATCTAATTGAGTTATCTCGTCCATCAGCTATTGCCTTAAAGAAGAATACTAACAGAGTTGTGTATTTTTTCCTAAAAGATCATTAGGATATAAATAAACCCAGCCAATATTTGTAATAGGAACGACCACAACAATTTGCAAATTCAACATTTGATAAAGCGAGAAATCGACATATCACAGTGCAATTTGTACCAGTTTATCTTAAACCTTAAATTTAGGTAAAATAGATTATGTGTATTATTCTAAAACAATGATAGCTCCTTTCAGCTCCTTGCTGTTAGATCGTCCGAACCTGAAAAGATAAAAGGAAACTAAATGCTCAAAAAGTATATCCATATTTGCACATCCAAGCAACATCAGATGAACAGAGGAAAACGTTCACCATGTAAGAGTTCCATAAATTTTTCAAACTCCTCTGGAAAAATTAAGTGCTGAGAGGCAGAATTCAGTAAGTAACAGCAATAACGTCTATAAAACAAAAGGTTAGGTTACCTGCGAGAACTTAATCAATTAATAGTCTGAATAAACACTACTGTGACCTAACTCCTAACATTTTATCAGTGTAGTCTGATACTGTAAAAAGATTAATATGCGGGATTTGCAATGAAACTCACAAAAAAATGCAGTATGCTCACCACTAAGTTCATTCCAAAACAAAGCAACAATACCGAATACATCAAATAATTAGAGAAAACATCTTAACTTCCACTCTGTATGTCACGCCATAGCTAGAACATGCACTGCAAGAGAATAATTTGACAAAAATCAGAGAATATCAGACCCAAAAATTTTATTTTGAAACACATGCATGGTTGGAAAAAAATGCAAAAAAGGTGTCCATTTTACTGCTACTAAGTAGTGAGGAAACTGAAAAGTCACAAGAGAACTTCATTATCTTAAATAAAAAACCCAAATCAGAGATTGGATTTCTTTGATTATCTGAATTGGACAGCAACTAATTAATTAATGATAGATGAACTGTGGGTCAATTTTGGAATATAAAGAATATTATATCAAGTGACTTAGAGAAGAGAATGCTCCAGAGACAGAAGCACAAAACTTACTGATGGAGGAACCGGTGATGGATTTTGGGTGTGAACAAATATATCCCACTGTAACGCAGCGAACCAAGTCAATTTCAAGCATAAATCCACTTGCATGTTCAAAAAAGTGTTCCCAGCCACCACAATGGGAAGGATGAAAAGGGCTGGAGAATGGAAAAGACGAAAATGAGAATTGTCAATTGTGTACACAAGAAATTAGAGTATTTGTACAAAACACGTGGAAAGCTACTAAATCAAGACTAATTTACCATAATACCCTTCGCCGTACCTATTATACTTTCCTTGTATACACATTTGATATCTCCAAAATACCCTTATTAATAGCGAGAACCTTTTTCTCTTTTCATCAACTTTTTCCATTTTACAACTATCAGGCGGGAAACATTTCCCCCTCTATTTTTCTTCTCCAGTCATTGCTCTTCTCAGATTTTAGAAGGGGGTTTTCTTTTATTATCTTTTTTGGTTGCACCTTGACTAGCACTGCAATGAAGATAGGAGTTTGGTATTCTAATTTCTCTTCATTCAGTGATCAGAATCATGGTGTACACTTTTTATAAGTTTTTTATTTATTTGTTTATACCCAGCAATTAGTCTTTCTAATTTTATTCGATAGAAACCACCATTGTTGTTTCATTTAATTTTGGATTAGCTTTAGTTTTTCTTCGATCACTACAACAGGATTGGTAAAAAAGTTTTCTTCTTGCATAATATCTAAAATCTAGGAACAAGGGATGAACATTCAGAAAGATCTAGAAAATAAAATTTAGAATTCTTTCAAACCGCATTTTTTTTTGGGTTTACCTCGTAGTGGAAGTGAAAATCTTTAGTATTTGGGTATTTGTTACTATTTGCCAGAAATAAAAATAGAGATGAATTTGGGGAATATGTTATGGAATAATGAGAATAAGTCTATGGTAGCAACTGTACTAAGAACAAAAGCTTTAAATTGCTTAATGTCCAGTTCTGTTTCATACAATGTTCTTTAGTGACAACGTGGAAATTGATGGGAAGCTGTAGATTGAGAGGGTTTGGGCTTTTGGAACAGTTATGTATCGAGTGAGAGTAATAGAAAACTTTTGGTGAAACGACAAAAAGCTCCTCACTATTAATGAGGTGGTAGCAAATAATAAGGGTATTTTGGAGATATCAAATGTGTATACAATGCTAACCTAATATATATATATAACCCATTCAACTTGGCCCCATTTTTCATTTTGGCACTCTATCTCTACTTTGTTTCATTTTGGCCCTCAACTCTATTTTATATGTTCCATTTTGACCCTCCAACTCTATTTTTTATGTTCCACTTTAACACAAAAGCTGAAACCAGTGTAAAAAATATAGCGGGTGTGTATACACAAATATGAGGTGTAATAAATATCCAATTAAATGTTACCACCTGGTTTTTCCATTCATGTCAAACGGGTCAATACTAAAATACCCGAACCCGACCGTATTTTTTCATCCACTGTTGCCCCATCTTCATTCTCTAAGTTCCAAAGCTTTCATCTACCGATTTCATACTTGGCCCGTTTAGATGAAATAAACTCACAAAAAATATGGTCGGGTTCATGTATTTTAGTATTGACCCGTTTGATACGGATGAAAAAATCAAGTGACAACATTTAATTGAATATTTATTACACCTCAGATTAGTGTATACACATGCGCTATATATTTTGCACTGATTTCAACTTCTGTGTCAAAGTGGAACATAAGAAATAGAGTTAGAGGACCAAAATGGAACATATAAAATAGAGTTGGAGGGCCAAAATGGAACAAGGTAGAGATAGAGTGCCAAAATAAAAAATGGTGCCGAGTTGAATGGATTATATATGTATTTGGCCATATATATATATATATATATATATATATATATATATATATATATATGTATAACAAAGGTCGCCTGATATAATTGAATGACAGAACAATCGTTAAATCTTTACTTTAATGATTATTTTTCTGTTTCTAGGAAATGATGATATAGGGAATTAACAGAGTAAAATCACTAACCCTGTTTTGAATATTACTGATAATGATCTGCACTATACAATAATATGCTTCCAGCTAAGGAATTTGGTAATTATATAATGTAATAATAATGTTGAAAACGCAAGCTAGTAGTGGATGTTTCTCCTCACACTAGCTTGAAGGAAAGTGTTGAAGATACTTGTAAGTTGTAAGGATCATGGATAGAAAATCTTATGTTTGCTCTTGAGCCTGAGGGAGTTTTATCCTAATTTGAAATTATAGTAAAAAAGTACGGGATAAAATTAAACATAAAATTTATTCATGTTATGTTAGAGTTCTGTTAATAACAAAGATAAGTACGAGATGTGCTAATCAGGGGCGAAAACAAATAGATCGAAGCGATATCACGTGACACCGCTTTATCGAAAATTTTAATTAAACATTTTTGCTGCAGATGACATGCAAATTGTACATGTATAGATATTATTTAAAGTGACACACTTGACTACATTATAAACCAATGGGACATATGATGATCTGCAATGGAAAAAATGACCCAATTTTTTATTTTGACATTTTAACTCAGTCTTATTCTATTTTGGCCTTCTAACTCAATTTTTTTTGTTTCACTTTAACGCAAAAGCTGACTAGATTCCATGTTTGATTTGCCTCACCCTTGTAGGCGCATGAGAGTCATTTTTAAGCCAAATTTCATATTCCCAACGCAGAGGCAGATCCAGGATTTAAATTCTATGGATTTAATTTTAATGTTTTTAACATTGAACCCATTATATTTTTAAAAGTTATGGGTTCATATCTATTATTTTTGCAATTTTAAAAAAAAATTAAAAGAGGGTCGCGGGCTAGGGCGGGCCGGCCCTTCAACTTTTTTAGAAAAAAAATATTTCTTCAATTTTTTTAGATATTTTTTCGTGACATAATATTTTAATCATATGAACGACTTCTGTTTATTTAGAGTGTACAAGAATCTTGATATTTGATAAGGAATCTCGTAATTGAAATACAAATTCTCTATATCTCTAGCTCTTCTTTTTTTAACGTTACATGAATATTTTTGTAATACTTTTCTTATATTTTCCTTACACTTTGCAATACACCTATTACAAAGACTTCAACTCATGACTAACTCTAGTCACGATACAAACACAAAAGGGTTTATGATTTTATAAAAGGGTTCCTAAGCAACGCTTCTAGCTAAGCAAATTAGGAGTTACAATGAAGAATAATTACAAAGTTACAACTCAACCAAAGACAATAAGATACTAGATTTAGGAACTGGTCTGTAGCAGTGTTAAACTTTGTTCTTGATGCACTTGAGAATTGAATGCTCGAATATCAGATGGCTTGAATGCTTGGAGTGAATTCTCAAGTGTTCAAGTGATGTTTTGCTGTGATACTCTTGTTAATACAACTTGGATGACATCACTTGAATGATGTAATCACTTGGTTGGTCAAAGGACAAGTGACTGCAGAACTGTGCTGTACTGTTTCTGTGTACAGTGCAGGCAGTCACTTTCCGGCTGTACACAGTTGACTTTTCGTACTGCTGTCAGGGAAACACAAGGGATCAGGTCCCTGTGTTGGTTCTCTATCTTCTGAAGTTGTAGCAGTTCACATTAGCTGGAGTCTGTTGATTAGCAATGTGTACCAAGTGTGTTAGGTTCCCTATCTGGTTCTTTGACAGTAAGTTTGTTAGATCATCAAAACATAAAGCTAAGATATTAAAAACCCATCAATTTTCCCCTTTTTGATGATGACAAACTTAGACATTGATAATATATTTTTGGAACAGAAAAACCGGAAGAAGCAATAGGAACTTCACAAGTTCCCCCTGACTTTATGCTTCCCTCTTAATCCGATCCCTGTTTCAATTATACTTTCCCTTTTTGGCATCATTAAAAATACACAAGCAGGCAATCAACATAAAGAAGTCTAGCCTAGCTAACTCATGTTAGATATGTGCACACTGTCGTGCCCCCTTTTTTCCCTTTTGGCGGGGAAGTCCAGGTTTCGACATTTATGCGGGAACAACTCTTTTCCTTTTGGAAATTTGGGTATTTGAAGAGTCGCCACCTAACGTATTATGGTGCATTAGGGCACCTAGAGTAATTAGCTCTTGTGACTAGTTTGCATTACCAGAGATTAGGGTAAGGGCTCGAAATAACCTTGAGGGGAAGGAGTTAAGCACCCCTAGCGGTCCACAATGGTGGGTCCCGACCGAACTTAAATTATATGAATTAGTCAATTATCAAACAAGCAAGTATTTGCAGATAAAGTAGCTTTCCCCATGCATATATGATCAAGGAAGTTCAAATAATGAAGGTAAAGAGATTTGGACCACTTATGTATATGTAAAGGAGGTTAAGGGAATTTAAACACATTTGAGAATTGGGAAAGAGGAGTCCTAGGTTAGTTAGCCTACAGGATCATACCCATGCAATGCCCGGTAATCACTCCTCAATGAGGGTCTACATGTGATACTAGCGTGCAGGTCATCATATCCTTACTACCCAATTCCCTCCCTTTGGTCATGGCCTAAAGCGTTCTAGCAACCTTAAGATATATCCTATGTGTGCATTACCCGTCCCTTCCTTGTGGCCTTGAGGTATTTAGAACCTCTAATTTAGGTAGTTTTGGACTATCCTAAGGTGCTTAAAGGAGAAAAATCTAGGCGACAACCAAAACAATTAGGACTGGACCAAAGATATAAAAATTAAAGGCTCAAGTTTTACTCCACAAACAGAGCAAGCAAGTGCACATCTTAAACACAGTTTCAGATATTTAAGAGAAGCCCTAGAACAAGATATCCAAGTGAGCAGAGGATATGCAGTATTGAGTTAAGACCAAAGTGTCAAAGACCTATTCAGTTTGTCTACTAAATTTTTAGAACCTGTTGAATCTGGGCAGTCACAATAAGCAAAGCAGTTTCACAGTTTTTATTAGACATTAATTACCTATAGGCTTGCCTAGGCGTAATACCTTATACATGCTATATAAATGCAATTAAAATTCTGCGACCCATTTTTAAAACAGTTTGAGTTTATTAAGTCCTATAGAAATGCTGGTCTAGGCTCTGAATAACTGATTTTAGACTTATAGATGCCGGCAGCTAAATGCAGAAACTGGTCTTTGAATCCTATAAGCATGACATCTAAATGTAGTGAT